CTTCTCTCCTTTCAGGAGAAAGACTTGATCGTTGTGTTCTGCTGAGTGTCTGTCCCTGGGTAAACAGTTTTAAATAGGAGAGGACATTCCTTCAGTGTTTTTAACTGCTGTAATAGAAACTGCATGACTGACCGGTTGTTTTCCACCTTCAGCTGCGCTTAGACCTTCCTGGTGGTACTGCAGATAACTTTAGTTGAATCATCCTTAAATTTTGGCAGTTGTGTTAGATCTTGAAAAGCAGTCCTTTTTGCTTTTCCACATCCAAGTACAAAATCTTTTATACGTAACAGCATTTCCCAAATCCAGTACCATTAATTTATCAATTACCTTCTTGGTGAAGTATTAAGACATTGAATTGAAATTTGGCTCCTCGAAAAAATAAGGGTGACATCCATTTTTAATAATACACTCTGTGAGTGAGTCACTCCAAATGACAAGTGTTAATGGGGCCTGTCTGTCAACCAGTGTAACAGGAAACACTCCCCCAGAGCCTTGAATCTTAGACACTTTTCCGTCAAGTAATTTTCAAAATCGCTTTTATCAGTTTTTGTAAAATGGAAAAATATGCACAATAGCTGCAGTATCTTTACACTTTATATTTCCTTGTGCAAAGAAATAGGAGAAATCAAATTTCAGTGTTTCTGGAAGAGAACCCTTCCGTTCCGGTTTCACCCAGGCTCTCTATAAATGTGAGAAATATTTTTTGCTACACGTCCGACATTAGATTGTGAGGTAAATTCTAACAGGCAGATAAGGACCAGAGGAAATGTCTGTACTACAGTATTTTTTGTTGGACCCCAGTGATTTGTGTCAGGCTGTTGGGATTTTGCTATTGGCAATTATGTGGTTATATTACATACACACACACACACGCACAAAAACACGCAGCATTCCCACCGTTCACTTTCTGTTGTCAAAATTGATGGCAGCAATTACTGTTTTATGACCAGTGGACCCTGTTCAACTGATGCTAGCTGTATGTGTGCCTTTGTTGTGAGCATTGGTGCTCACTGTGAACATCTTTGTTCTGTACCAGTGAGACCCATCCAGCATATTAACAAAATTAATATGTGCTTCTCTCTGGTTCACTGGGAATTGTGGGAATTGCTGTCCCCGACTCGGAGGACCATGTCCAAAGTCTTAGCAGATTGGTTTGCACCCTGTTGCCCTTTTCACATTTAACCAATGGGGTTTGAGGGATTGTTAATGTTTCCCAGCATCCCTGCTGCTGTCGGGGGCAGAGTTTGGTGCTGCTGTTGACGCTGGAAAAAAACCCCACACTGACACATGCATGTTTAATGTCTGTATAAGGACTTTAGCATAGAAGAAAGACAGCAGCGGGAAATCTTCAACCTCAGTGATGTGGGGGGTTGTGTTGTCTCAGTGAATCCATTGTTTGGTCCGGTGGCCTTTCATGGCTCTGCCTGTCCTTGGTGCATTTTCCTATTAAACAAATAATGTGGAACAGCATGAAAGAATGAGCTATCCATGACAGGGAGGAGTGATGTCACTGTCCCGCTGACGCCGCCATATTGGCCCCAATGATACTCATTCACTAAACTGCAGACTGCTGCTGTTTGACTGAATGATGCATTCTACTTAGCATAGCTTCTGCTTTCAGTCACAACAGTTGTGCCAGGATGAAATTAGAAGAATGTAATGACATTAACAGTTAATAGTGGTAATGTAATAATACCTGCCTGCTAGGCAAAAGCATCATTTAGCTTGGGTCCATTTACTTCTTTTTGTCTCGTGGACTTCCTCTTTGGATGGAGGCTGCTTAGTTGTCATGGAGATGATTTAGTTTGTTATCATGTGATCTAAGTATGGACTTTCATGATAATAGGTGATCTTACAGACATCGAAGCCCTCCTTCTGCTCTTCTCCACACAAGTCCCACACTCATATGTTTCAGTATGTTCAGTGAAATGTCAAGGTGTGGAGAAGAGTGAAAACATCTTTTCCATAGAGAAAAGCCTTCAATGCCATTCTTTGCTCTTCTTTCATTGAAGAAATACTCGTCCAGTTTGGCTCTAAAATTTCACAGCTTTCCAGGGGTAGAGGTGGCATCGTCAGATTTCTTGTTTTTGACCAGGAGTCCACTACAGCCTGTCTGTAGAGTGTTGAAAGAGGTGAAAGATTTAGGCTTCCTTAGTGAAAGCTAAATCACTGTAAACATTCATTTATTTCCATTGCAGTTAAGCCACCTAACATCAAAATGTAATGTGTTTTTGGCCGCAGGTGTTGTGCAGTATGTCTTCAGTGGGCTGATCTCCAATGGGATGAATACTAGTTACCCTGTGGGGACTATAAAGTAAACCAGCAGCAGCCGGTCAATAGAGGCTGCCTGTGCAGAGCACCCCACCAGCCACAAAGCTCAGTCAGAGTCTGCAATCTTAATACATTATTAAGTTATTTCCTCAGAAATGTGTTAATTTTGTATTCTCTTTCCTAATGGGGGCCATCCTAGCCATGTTACACACACTAATTAAATAATAAAAGTAAATGGATATAAAATCCATCAAGAGCTAACACAAGAAAGGTCGTCCATGTATGTATTTATTGCACTACCAATAAGAGTAGCTTTTCATTAAAGACTGGAAGTCTCTCCATTCTATGAAAAATTAAGTATTAAATTAGCTAAATTTGTGTTATCAATACAAGGGGGCCATATTGAGAGTTGAAGTCAAAGCTTAGTACACCAAGCTAGACAACAACATAGTGTGAAGGCTCAGATAATAAATATATATAAATATATATAACCGGTGCAGAATGGATGGAAGATTGAGGATAATGGGATAAATTCTCTGTTCCTTACACCCAGATCAAGCGTGGTATCATTTTCAAGAAAATAAAAGAACAGAGATGAATACATTATTCTGATGTAACAGGGTAATGTCTCCAGCTCTCAGTGTTTCCTTGCAGAGCCAGTGATAGATCTTGTTTTGTCATGGTAACTGTCGGTGTTGTGGGTAGGTGGCCTTTAACGTCGCCTAAAGGTCACCAACATGAGCTGCGTGATGCTTCACCGCCTGGACACATGTAGACTCCAGACCAGCTGAGAGCGGGCAGGAGCTATCTTCTCATTTTTTATTGAAGCGTTTGCAACCGTATCTCTCCTGTCGCACACAAATTTCTCTTACACTAGTCAAAAAGTGCACGCTAGTCAGCAAGTGTCTGAAAAGGTACAAATTTATTCTAGTGTATGTGTGGGAGGCAACTTGTACAGTTTGTTTAAAAAAAAAGATATTGTTATGATAACTAATAATCTTTACACATGACACTGAAGAAATAATAAAATAGACACAAAATAAATCCGAGGCTGCTGTTTTTTGTCAGTAGTTATCTGACTTATAATATAGATATTAAAGGCTGCACTACTGAAATGTTCACAGCCCGTCTGCTGATCGTGGAACTGTCAAGGAAGCAGCAAGTCCAAAATGGAGGAAGCTATCGTAGCTCAGCTGTGTTGTGCCATCCACTTTTATTGAACCCACTAACCGAACCGACTCTGTCTGTACTGCTCCACAACTACAGACAGTTATGTGATGGTGCAAATACGTATTCTGAATAAACTGTGTGGAATTAACTATTGTACTGTTAGTGACACAGCTAGCCAACTGACAGTGAGCAAGCTAGCTAGAAGAGCCCCCCCCCTTCAACAACTCTTTATGTTGAATGATTTAATGATATACAATACTGAGAACCAGAATGCCATTGAGGAAGAAATGCCCCACTACAGGGAGACTAGGAAGAAGCTTGGCAACCAAAAACAGGCCAGAACTAACAATGTGTGATTTTATTCCCTTGTTCCAGTCTAAATGAACCAAACTAAAGGTGTGAAAGTGTTCCATTTTTAAAGTGTCAATTTGAAGCTATTAAAGGAAGGAGGAATGAGTGAGAAGCAGTATGTATCCCTTTATCCTCCCTCCCTGTGCGCATCAGGTTATCATCACATTGATGATGATCGACGTTTCTAATGAAGCTGTGATGGCTGCCGGCCAGCCGAAGACACACAGCTGCCACGATGTCGCTCCGAGCAGACTGACAAGAAGCACTGAAATGTTTGTATCTGTTTGAAAGAAATGAAACAGATTGTCGCTGGGCAGACCTGCTGTGCGAGCAGAACTATTCTCATTGGCTGTGGTAAATATTAGTGGGTGGAGCCTAAGAACTATGATTTTCTTTAGCTTCTGTTGCAGATTTTAGATGAAGAGATCCTCTCTTCTCTTCTCAAATGTTAAATGTCGTCTAAATGCATGCAGCCATTCAAAAACATTACCTAACTACACTCATGATTTCAATCAGGAGCTTTCTGATACAAGAATACATACAAAATGAGCACTGCATCCTTCAGGAGACACTTTAACTGATATCTAATGAATATATATTTTAATATTCTAGTTATTTACAGAAACTGGGACGTGAAATCATCCAGGAGACTTCTCATGAGTCTCTGGTGAGACGTTAACTTTATCTGCAATAGAATACTACAGTGGGAAGACCAGCAGCTCCGTCCACTGCTCCACTGAGTAAACAATCAATAACTAATATTTGTTTTAGTTTTTTCACCATCCATTTTGAGGTTGGCTGTCAGTTTTGCAGACTTGTTGGCTTTGGATGACCGATAAAATACAGAATGCATTTCCTCCATTCAAGAATTTACCTGGGATGGTCCGTCCTGTATTACTTCCAATATTTCCTGTTATACTACCACACACACGCAGTTCCCTCCACCAGTGTGACCTGAGGCTGCCCTGCTCTGCTCTTACTAACTGATAAGGCTGTGTGTGTGTGTGTGTGTGTGTGTGTGTGTGTGTGTGTGTGTGTGTGTGTGTGTGTGTGTGTGTGTGTGTGTGTGTGTGTGTCCAGAGCCAGCTTACTGTAGCTCGGCCCCACCCTCTCATTACACAGAGAGAGAGAGAGAGAGAGAGAGAGAGAGAGAGAGAGAGAGAGAGAGAGAGAATTAAAGAGAAGGAAGAGGGAAGAGCAGAAAGGGAGAAACTTCAGAACTGCAACTGGACTTCAGTCGGTAACCAACCAGCCAGTCAGCTAACTGTTCAGGTAGTAAGGTAGCCAGTGGGTTACTGTTTGTAATCAATCCTTTAGTCAGTCAGTCAGTTATTAGTTTGGATGGTCAGTTGGTTGGTTGGTTAGTCTTTCAGGCAGTCAGTAAGTTTAGCACCGAGGCAGTCAGCAAGGCAGATCCATTAAAACCAGTCATCCATCCATCCCTCCAGCCAGTCAGCGAGTCAGCTGGTCGGTGAGTGGGTGTGGCTTTCGCTTCTGCTGCTTCTAGCTGAATAGTAGTCAGTCATCCAGTCGTCCTGCCTCCCACTCAGTCACTCCGTCAGTCAGTCAGTCAGTCAGTCAGTCAGTCCGTCAGTCGGTGGGTGTAGATGCAGGGCTGCTGGTCAGCTGCTCTGGACGGCTCGTATCTCCCTCAGGATCTCACACTGTTGAATCAGCTGAGGAGCCACTGAGAGGTAAGGAGATCAGACGCCCAGCAGGACGTTTGTTTGGCTACTTTGTCAAGAATGTTTCAGAGCTGTTTGCTGACTTCTGTGGGCATGTGACAGGCTGCAGGCTGAACCGGGAGAGACGGAGAGGTCTGACGGATATAGAGGCAGAAAAACAAGTTTTTAACAGGGAAATAAGATTGTTGCATCTGTGGCTGTGGAATGTGATCACACCCTTTTCTACAAGTTGATAACTGTTGGCGTGCTGTTGCGCTCAGCTGCATCATCCTCATGTTATCTGGGCTCTGAGTGGCAGAGCAGCAGCGACGTAAGCTGGTCATGAATTTTCTCTCATGCTCAGTCTCATGATAGTGGTGATGTTCTGAAGGAAAGCAGGAGGCTCACGGCTGTGGTCTCCTACTAAAACCTGTTTTATTAAGGGGCTGAATTTGATCCACTCAGTGTGGCATCGGTTTGACTTCTGGTTGCCTGTTAACACCTGAAACGAGGAGTGCAGAAGAAAATCTAAAGATATATTGTCAGGCTTTCAACAAAAGAAGAAAATAAAAAAAGTAAAGATAAAAACTAGCTTTTGCCTGTTGACTAATGAAATGATGACACCAGACTGGGTCCTCTTGTTTCAAAGCCCATTTATAATATTGCAGGAAATAAGCTTATTTCACTATTTACTGTTTTATTATAAAATTCGTTCATCTCTTTGGTCCAACCCTTTTTTTTTAAAACAGTGGCTCTACAGTGAAAGAGACACGGGCAAAAGAAAAAGAAGACAAAGTCAGACAAGATGATGAGGTGAAAACATCAAAAGACACAATATGAACACGTAGATTTAAAATTTCAGGAAAGACTAATTACTTAAACGTATTTGCCTTTATTGGGACTTGAAGGGAGTTTTTGAAAGCAAATGTTTGATGAGCATGAACTTGTGTGTTCTTTAAAGAGACGTATAGATGGTACAGCAGCTGAAAACGGGTTTAAATTCCTGCTGTGGTAAAAAACCATATTATGTCTGGCTAGCTTGGACGGCTACTGTGACTGACTAGCACTAGATCGTTCTGGCTGGCTAGCGTGTTAGTCAGCTACACTAGTTCACTAAGTAGCCCTGTACTCACAGTCCCTACGTACAAACGTCTAGAACCAAATATCTTGTGAGGACACATAGATTAACTTTGCTGTACCGCTTTCTGATCCGACCACGAGATCGCAGAGGAATTAGCTTCCAGTTTCACCAAAAAAACGCAATGATTTTGAATGGACGCCAGCCTCAGTGGGGAGGCCTGGCAGTGGACGCTTTTCTTACTGTCAACCAATGAAGCAAAAAGACCAAAAGCAGCCACGGATTTATTCTGCTAACAAGTATTGTTGTATAGCCGAAAGCTTGCTAGCTTATTTGTCTGTGCCAGTGGACCTCCACTGTTGATTGTGCATTAATCCGCCATTGAAAATAGTCCCCATCAAATGGTCTATTTTCTCCTGTTTGAGTAATGTTTGATACAAAGTACAATGTAAAGCGGTTTCAGGAAATACTGCATACTGAGTCTTCTTTTATGGGCTTGGGAGCAACAAGCTAGATTGTCAGAGAGTATGAAAAGATTTAGCACATGGTTAGTTTTTTTTTTGTTAGAATTGTTGACAATAAGAAAAATATAGAATCAATAGATCAGTCATATCCTCTGGTAAACTAATGTAAGACATTCAGTCCCTTCAGTCCCTTCCTTTACTTTACTAAAGGCTGATTTTATCAGGCATATATAACACACAGATTTGACTACCAGCTCAAGCTGTGGTTGATATGGTATAAATCCAATAAACTGAACAACAACTAGAGCTGAATTTGTATTCCAGTCAGGTTAGGTTTCTTTGATGTTTGGAGTATTTCATTATCATCCAGGGCACACTCTTTCATTTCACCAAACTCTTTTTGAATGTGACATTAGAACTGGAGTGGAAGTCTAACACTGTGATAGGAGCTTCTTGTGCTCTGTAGAAGAAAAACAAAATCCACTTGCTTTGTGTAAACAGTATTATCCTGAAACTGGTTTGACTGCAGAGGGGAAATATTGTCATTTAAAGCACAGATGTTAGAAAACTGTAATTAGCTTCAGGATTCAGTGGATGAGACTCAGAGTGTTGGAGGGAAACTTCTGCGTGCTGATAAAGGTCTCTTCCTACTGCTTACTTATCACAAGCATTTCCTCTTTCAGGATTTATAACGGAGGAGATTCAGAGGTAAATATTTGACTCTAGCATGCATGATGTGTGATGGTGAAAACAGAAGCCATTTTGGAAAGTAAAAGTGACATGAGTGTGTTTGTTTCAAGTAGGAGAAACCAGCCGTGTTATCTTGCTCCAAACTTTGAGGCACTTAAATAAAACAATTTTCTTAATTTTAAGGCTACTATTTAGTTATTTATGCTCTCAGTACTTAGGCTGTGAAATGAATTACGTACTTGCCTAAAACACCAACCTCACTCATTTTCTTAAAAATGACCACTTAGAAAAGACCACTTTTTTGGTTTATTTTGTTTAAAATTGTTAAATAAACTTACTTTTTTTTAATAATTAAAGGCCTACTTTCTCAATAATAGGGGTATATAAAGGCACATTTTAGCCGACTTTCCAGTACTAATTGTTTTAAAGACCCAACATTTTTTAGACTTGGCTAAAAAACCATCAGTGAAAGATACGATTGATAGAACACATTAGTGAGCAAAGTTTCAGCTTTAGTTTCTGTGTCAAACAATGTGATTTACAGCAGAAATAATTCCTCTGATTCAGGAGAATTCATTTATTGCACTCCCCAGCCCCCTCCTCTTTGTGTCTATGTTTAACGGGTGAGGCATGTGACATATTAGAAGTGTAAGTGCCTTCTGTCTATTCATAGTGGAGGACAGAGATGTGTGTGTGTTTGTGCGTGATAAGGGCATTGTCTAATGGAGTACTTCCATTTATTTAATTTTATCTTTTCAAAATCTTAACCCAGCACTGATAGGACAATATCACCATGAACATTATGGTGTACAGTGTAAACAAACGTGCAACAGGTGACAAAAACAGGAAGCATTATTTAATCAGTAAAGTCATAAGACCCACAAAATGTAGCCGGCAGCTGGACCAGGCTGAGACTAAATGGAGGAAAAACTGTGAACAGTCTTTAGTCTGCAATGAAATCTAATATGTTTAACACGTTTAATCTGCAGTGTTCTCTTCTTTTTTTTACGTCTGTTTATTGGTACTTTAGGCAACAAACAGTGGGCCCTGTATATAAATTATATAAAATATGTAATAAAAAAGTACAGAATTTAGAAAACACATTAAAAAAAACCTATAAAATCCGTACAGTACATATACAGTATACACATTAAAGTGTAACTACACCCCTCAGTTGTGCTAACTCCCTTGCTCTCAGCAAATTAAAAAAAAATGCTTTTAAAAGCTGCAGAGGACAGTGACTTTAGGGGGCGTGGCCTCGATACCGACCGCAGTGATTGACAGAATTGACCACAGCAGCGTAGCAGAAACAGCGGCTGGTACTCAGAGCTAATGAGCAGCTGCTGTTGGACTCGCCGTGTCTCCATGATTTCAAACAGTAAAGGGCATGTTGAGCCATTTTAAACCCACAAAGTGCAGATTTTCATGTCAATTTTAACACCAGCATTGATGCTCAAACAACATGGGTGGAGTACCTCTTTAACCAAGGTATAAAGCTGCTTCCCATGGTGAGTGACATCACACAAATATTCTCTACATTGTCAGTATTCACCATGCTTGTTTCCTGTGGGTAGTAAGATGAGGCCACAGAGGAAGACATCAGCATCACCAGCTTCATGTGTGCAGCAGAACTGTGACTGATTATATTTCATGGCTGCAAATAATAGCTGTAATAATTTGAATCTTACAGTAGCAACTGAATACCTTTTTTTTTATTGTGAAACACAATCACCAATGAATACTTAAAGAACCCCTCCAGGCATATATTAGAATGTATATACAAGTACTCTGTTTGGAACAATAATGTGTGTCTGATATGTTTTTTATCCACATTAAAATAATTTTAAAAAGTAATCTACTCCTTCTACCTCATTTCATATCCACATTTAGTTTATTTCAGGGTTTCCTTCTGAACACAAGATGCCTCCTACTTCACTGTAAAGTCCATTCTCAGTGTTTGTGCGTCATCATTGACTTCTAAACTATTTGCGATGTCACAAATCATGCTCGTAGGCCCCGCCCCTTAAAATCCGATATCCAATTAACACAGAGAAACTTTCCTCTTTCAGCAGATGAATGTAAAAACATCCTTCTAGTGTCAAACTGCACATACAGCATTCACACAGCACACTGTAGGAACAAGAACAAACACTGGTTTCTGACTGGAGGGGAGCTTTAATTTTCAGATTGTTCTCCCAATGGTAACTTTAACATTAAGATTTAGTTGTTAGATGTTATTTTTTAAAACCTGTCATTTGAGGTTTAGGGATTTACTTGACATTTGCTTTGTTATTATAATGATGGTAGACAAGGTGTTTTTATACAGACTGTAAAAAATAATCATCTACCTATTCTTTCTCACTCACTTGTGCACTTCTGAAACCACCAGGGCTGTAAGACTTGTCTTGTATGGGCCAAATGAATGATTGGATAAACCAGTTACTGTGACAGGGGTCAAAGGTTAAAAGATTTCCAATTTCCCCTCAGACACCAGGCAGTGATTGGGAGTAATGAGATGAACTCCAAAGTGAAATGTTGACCGTTTAAAAAAAGAAGCGCTGACGTGAAAGTAAAACAGTTTAATGCTCGTAAACACTGCCAGATGTCATGCCGTGGGTTCAAGTGTTCCACTCAACATTAATATATCGCTTCAAGATGTTGCACAATGTATTAGTTTCATGCCTTGTCAACTTCAAGGCTTGTGAAGAGGATATTTAAGTTCAAGAGTTTCTGATGGAAAGAACCTTAATTTTTTTTTTTGGGAGGCTGAAGAGATTTTAAATTGAAACTGTTGATGG